TCTTTCAGATTTTTAGTTTTGAATGAAATAATGAAAAGATTTTCTAGCCTTGGATGCAAAGATCTTCTACCATGCATAAAAAATCAATAAATTTGAGAGAAAATTTAGTAATTGTTACCTTCCTTCAGTATGCTCCAGTCCTTGCCTTGCTTCTTTTTGTTCCTCTTTTCTAAAAAAAATAATTCAGCAAGAAAAAAATAAAACAAGAGTTAATTTTTTTTGTGTACTCTAAGAGAAAAATAGAAAAATACTAAATAATATGCAATACATCCCTAGCAATGGTGCCAAAATTCGACATGACTCAATCGTTGTATAGTAAATCACGCAAATTTAAAATTTATAAAACTAGAAAATATGATTTTTTAGATATTTAGAAGTATTTTTGAACAAATATATCAATTATATTTCAACCAACCAAAAAATAGCAATAATTTTCTGTGTTAATCATAAGGATGTAATATAATATCTGGTAATTATTCTATGAATATGATTTTCTATGAATTTTATACTAAGAAATGAAAAGAAAATATATTTAAAATTCACGAAAAAGGGAAATAAGGGTACAGACATCAAGATGATGTTAGTGCCTAGCAAAGGTGAATCAGGCAAAAACAAACTTCCACCCGACGATTCTTACGTAAGTGATTATAGGTGATTTAATTAATCAAATTAAGATCTATAAAAGCCAAAAAACTCATAATTAAATAAAATATATTTTGGTAAATTAAAATCACAAAAATTATCACTAAATGAAGTGTAAAGTAAGTTGAAAGCAAGAAAACAAAGTTCTGACATCACGACAGCAATGCACTGACAATGCACTAGAATCCTGAGCATTCAAGAGGATCCTCGTGTAGTGTCCATAGCCTTGAAGGCTCTCTTTGAACAAAGACAACATGGACAATCTCTAGATCTTCTTGCAAAGTCTAGAGATTAACGAAATGAGTCATCGAATCATCTCCAGCAGTTGTCACCTGAGGGAGTGGAAAAACGGCAACTTTGCGGCTCTCCGGCAGCTGTCACCTGATGGAGAGGAGCTAGATGGAGGTGGGGGACGTGTCAAGGAGCTTCATCCTCAGGTCTGCACAGCAAGAGGAGGCTCTTCATTGCATTTGGTACGCTCTCAGGAGGTGGCATCTCGTCTCCCGGTGGATCATCCTCTTCCTAACGACGACTTGTTCGTCGATCAATCGGAGATGTTTTACTCGATAGATTTGCGATCCTTTTATCATGAATTGTTCAGCAATTTTAGTAACAATGCTCCACGAATCATGTTGACTAGATTTTTGTCGATGATCTAGTGATTCTAGTTGCTTAATCCTTCACTAGCAATCTGTAGGAAAGTCGTGATAATCAGATAAAAAAATATGAGTTTTGACTGTAAGAGGGTTTAATCCCACATCGGTTGTGCACCGATATTTTGGGCAAATATATACTAATGTTACACCTCTAAGCAAGTCCCTTCTCTTGCATGTATGACCACTCCTTGCCCCACAGCCGACTACCCACCAGTGACGTGTGGAAGGGGAGTGGCACACATGTGCCCCTATTGATCCAAGCCGCTCAAGCCCCTACTCATGGCTACTCTCCGACTGAGCTTTCGACCCACTTGTAGGCCCAACTGGCCAGTGGGTCCCCCTCGTTTTGTCTTTTTTTTTTAATTTATTTTTCTTCATTTATCTCAAAAGTAAGACTATAAAAATTATATAAATTCATTTAAAATCACATAACTACCCAAAAATTCACATTAATCAATTAAAAATCACTTTTCACACTTTAACACAAATATAAGTCTATTTGTCATGAATTAAAGCTAAAACTATATTATTTACTAATTATTAACTCATGATAATGAAGACTTATCATTACCTTCGTCTTACGACTAGATAGTTTTCATTCATTTAGTAGACTACATGATAGGCTGCATATAGATTTTACTTAGTCTATTTGATTATCTAAATAGATATCCTTTAATATTTGTTTGTTGATTTAAATTTTTACTTTTGCATAAATGTAGATATCCAAAAGCTTCCCTTCCAAATCATGTATTATGTGTTCTCTTGTATAAATATTCTTCATATGTAACACATTTGCTTCAGCACAATATCCAATGCTCTCACATCACAAGGCTCGAACTCTTAAGTTTCATAGTAATGTCTACGCAGCACTATAATCTTCCTTAGGTTGAATTACCTTTCCCCTACTCTTATTCCTCCATATGATCTTCCCCCATTATTAAAGAAGATGGCTCTTATTTAGATACCCATTAAGGATTTAACAACTAGCAAGCCTAGCACTAGTCGAGTGCCATATCCTGAAAACCATTCTCACATCCATTCTCCACCCTTCTACCATAACTCGTCTCATATAGATTCCTGAATTTACAGATTCTGGATTCCTCACAACTTATTATTTGAAATTAAATATTGGATACTACAATAAGCTCTGCAAGTGAGAGTTTAGACCTCAACATCAAATATGGTGGGATAGTACGACGAGGCATCTATCTTTTTGTATGATGAAAAACCCTATCTAGAAAATAGGAAAAGTACCTTTTGTCATGATAGCTCTGCCGTAATTTATTTTTTCCTTAGTTCTCCTTGGATTGGTACAAAGATGTATTGTTCTCCTTTCTTTCTAATGGTGCCTATTGATTGTATATCGAAGTACTCTTGAAGGCAAGACGAACAAGATGGTGACTTGCCTATTTGATTGCTCTTAGCAGCAGTTCTTTTGTTCAGGGTGGTGAATAGGGCGGTGAATAATGAAAATAACTGCACTTTATCTTCATTTAGGTTAATGGTAGCCTGTTTGACAATGGGTGGATCATCAAAGATTAATTGAAAGAATAAGATGAAGTGAACTCCTTGATGTACCCAGACCAGAATGAAAAGTTCAGCAAAGAAGAAGATGGTAAACACTGACTGGCCTCAGAGTGATACACCAGCTTGTGGTTTAAATTTTCAATAAGCCAGCAAGTGCTCAAGAATAATTTCCCCATCATTCACTTGGCTGTTTGGTTTCATAGATCCTGAGTTCCCTACCTTAACTTCTCCACAAAACTATTCTCAATGAAAAGTGCTAGGCTAAAATCCTGAACCCTCCCCATGGTTCTCACATTCTTATAAGCTTTCCTATTTCAATGAAGAAAATTTTGTGATTGCCATTTTGGAGCCCTACTTTCTGTCGCTATATTATTTTTCATTCCACCACTCTGGGAATTCCCAGATTCATGGATACTTACCTCGATGAGCCGTTTACATGATTTTGACCATGGATATTTTTCATTACTTTGTTTGGTGCTAGGTTAGAACAAGTCTAGTGTCTCTATCGTAGAGAAGGGTTTCCTCAATCTTTGAAATAGTAGTATGCGTTTCACCTGGTGATGCTCTCTAATCATAATCTTCACAAAATATTAAATATCCATAAAGGGGGATGTTCTATGCCGTCTACACAGAAGTACTTGAAAGGATTCATTCTGAGATCTGCATGCGAGATCGACATCACCAAGTTGCACGTACAGGATGGTGGAATGGGGTAAAGTTTTGCCACATAAAATAGTTGCAGTCGAGTAAGTAAGTATAGAAGAGAAAAATTACTTCCCTCACATTAAACAGTTACAAGTATAGAAAGAGTCCAACAACTTTTGCCATTCCTTTTTAGTTTGGCAGCAATGTGCGGCGCTCCTAGAGAACCCTTGGTTTCCCCTAGCTTTAGTCAGACACAATAAACCTATTCTAGGTAAAATTGGGTCACTTGGTGTAGTCGTAAAGGAGAAGGATCTACTAAAAGGTACCTTTACGCATGCATGGTAAAAGGTTTTGAAAGGTTTTGATAGGTTTTGAAGGCTTACATCATATTGACTATGGTACCCGTATGATTTAAGTTGAGATGTTTTGAAATTTATAAATGGCACCTTTATCTTGGTGATTATTTAGAGGATAATATGTTATTAAAATAAAAATTCGTAAACAAAGATCACAATGGTGAAAGAGTTCTCACAAAACTTCCTGTATTTGATTTATTATCACTTTTAGAAGATTTTTAAATTTTCAAACAAAATTGAATTTTGATTGAATTGACCAGAAAACTAGCCGCTACAAGGCAATGACTGAATTTTGTGTCTTTAAAATATTCTCCTAAGATGAATCCACTGTGATTATGAAGAGAGACAGAAAATTTTATAGTTTTTTGATCATAACAATTTTGGAATTACTATTATGATTCTGCCATTCTCATCTACATAATACAATTTAGGTGAATCTTGTGATGAAAAGAGAAGTGACTTAGGTCAATCCGCATATAGATCTGAGAGATTATGTTAGAATATGCATCAATACATGTTCATATAGAGAAAGTAATAGAATAAAATAGGAAAACGTAGAAAACTAGTTCACCCTCCCCCTTTTAATACTTCACTTAGCCATATCAAACCCAATAGTAAACACATTCTTGATAGGCATCATTATTGACTATAATAGGTCACAAAATGAAAGTCATATTTTTGTAATGTAATACTTTCAAAAATTCTATAATTTAATGCTAAAGTCAAGAATGATCTTTTTATCTAATAATCATTACAAATACAAGAGGTCTTGAAATATCAAGAGGAAAAATTTATTTCCTAGCTATGAAAATAAACATAATAGAGGTTTAATTTTTCTTACACCTAATAACAGATATGTCCTCTTTGAAATAAAAAATATAATTGATAAGTCTTCATTATCATGAGTTAATAATTAGTAAATAATATAGTTTTAACCTGAACTCATGATAAATAGACTTATATTTGTGTTAAAGTGTGAAAGTAGTTTTCAATTGATTAATGTGAGTTTTAGGTAATTATGTGATTTTATATGATTTTATATGATTTTTACAGACTTACTTTTGAGATAAATGAAGGAAAAGAAATTAAAATAAAAATAGCAAAATGGGGGGGACCCACTGGTCAGCTAGGCCCACAAGGGGGTCGGAAGCATAGTTGGGCAGGAGCTGCGAGCATGGGCTCGAGCGGCTTGAACCGATGGGGGCATGTGTGCGCCACTCCCCTTCCACGTCACCGGTGGCCAGCTGACTGTGGGGCAAGGACTAGTCGTACACACGTGAGAAAGGAACTTGATCGGAAATGTAATATTACTATATATTCGCCACAAATTTTGGCGCACAACCGATGCGGGACTAAACATGTGTCACCTTCCCTAGAAAGGGCAGCAACTGGCACAGGTTTGAATCCTCCTAGAGCCAAAATTCATATTTTTTTTATCTGATTATTGTGGCTTTCTTATAGATCGCTGATAAGTCTTCATTATCATGAGTTAATAATTAGTAAATAATATAGTTTTAGCCTTAACTCATGATAAATAGACTTATATTTGTGTTAAAGAATGATTTTTGGTTTTCAATTGATTAACGTGAATTTTTGGGTAATTATGTGATTTTATATGATTTTTACAGTCTTACTTTTGAGATAAATGAAGAACAAGAAATAAAAATAAAAATATTGCAAAAATGGGGGAACCCGCCGGCCAGCCGTGCCCACAAGCGGGTCGGAAGCGCAGTCGAGGAGTAAGCCGCGAGCAGGGGCTCGAGTGGCTTAGCTTGGGGACCCGACATGGCACGTGTACACCACTCCCCTTCCACGTCACTGGTGGCCAGCCGGCTGTGGGGCAAGGAGTGGTCATACATATGAGAGAAAGGACTTTGCTCACAAAGCTAACATTACTATATATTCGCCCGAAAAATCGGCATACAACCGATGAGGGACTAAACCCCCGTCACACCTTCCTCAGAAGAGGCGGGCGACTGACGCGGGTTCGAATCCTTCCAGAGTCAAAATTCATATATTTTTATTTGATTATCGTGACTTTCCTGCAGATCGTCGGGGAAGGATTAAGCAACGAGAATTGCTGGATCATCAGCAAAAATCTCGTCAACGCGATTCGCGGAGCATTGCTACTAAAATTGCTGAACGATTCGCGATAAAAGGATTGCGAATCCATCGAGTAAATCATGTCCGATTGATCGACGAACAAGCTGTCGTCGGGAAGAGGATGATCTGCCAGGAGACCAGTTGCCACCTCTTGAGAGCATACCAGATGTGATGAAGAGCCTCCTCTTGCTGCGCGGACCTGAGGATGAAGCTCCCTGACACGCGCCCCACCTCCATCTAGCTCCTCTCTGTCAAGTGACAGCCGCCGGAGAGCCGCAAAGTCGCTGTTTTTCCGCTCCACCAGGTGACAGCTGCCAGAGACGATTCGACGACCCACTTCATTGATCTCTAGGCTTCACGAGAAGATCTGGAGATTGCCCACGTCATCTTTGTCCAAGGAGAGCCTTCGAGGCCATAGACACTGCACGACGATCCTCCCAAACGCTTAGGATTCCAGTGCATCGCTGACGCATTGCCGTCACGACGCCGGAACTCTATTTTCCTGCTTTCAATTTAATTTACATTTCATTTAGTGATCCTTTGTTGATTTTAATTTACCAAACTATACTTCATTCAATTACAATTCTTCTAGCTTTTACAGATCTTAATTTGATTAATTGAGTCATCTGTAATCGCCTACGTAAGAATCGCTAGGCGGAACTCTGTTTCCGCCTGATTCGCATTCGCCGGGTGCTGACGTCATCTTGACGTCCGCACCCTTATTTCCTTTTTTTCGTGAATTTTAAATATATTTCCTTTTTATTTCCTAGTATAAAATTTGTAAGAAAATCGTATTTATTGAGAAAAATTCTGAATAATTACCAGATATTATATTACATCCCTGTGATCGACTTAGAAAATTACCGCTATTTTTTGAATTTTTATTGAATTATAATTGATATATTTATTTAGAAATACTTTTAAATATCCGAAAATTTGTATTTTCTAGTTTTATAAATTTTATATTTACGTGATTTAATATACAACGACTGAGTCACGTCAATCGCCATCTGAAGGATTAAGCAACCAAAATCGTTGGATCATCAGTGAAAATCTCATCAACGTGATTTGTAGAGCATTGTTATTAAAATTACTAAAGGATTTATGATAAAAGGATTGCAAATCCATCAAGCATCTTCGATTGATTGACGAATAAGTTGTTGTCGGGAAGAGGAGGACCCACTAGGAGATGAGTCGCCACCTCCTAAGAGCATATTGGATGCAATGAAGAGCCACCTTTATTCTGTGCAGAGCTGAGGATGAAGCTCCGTGACACGTGCCTCACCTCCATCCAACTCCTCTCTATCAAGTGACAACTATCAGAAAGCCGCAAAGTCGCCATTTTTCGACTCCATTAGAGACAATTTGAGGACCCATTTCATTGATCTCTAGACTTTGCAAGGAGATCTGGAGATTGCCCACGTCGTCTTTGTCCAAAAAGAGCCTTTGTGACTATGGACACTACACGACGATCCTCTCAAATGCTCAAGATTCTGGTGCATCGCCGACACATCGCCGTCGTAACATCGGAACTCTATTTTCCCACTTTAACTTAATTTTCGTTTCACTTATTGATAATTTGCTGATTTTAAATTTACCAAGATATACTTCATTTCATTACAATTCTTCTAGCTTTTACAAATTTTAATTTGATCAATTAAATTGTTTGTAATCGCTTACATAAGAATTGTCGGGCAGCACTCTATTTCAGCCTGATTCGCATTCGCTGGGTGCTGACGTCATTCTGACGTCCGCATCCTTATTTCCTTTTTCTGTAAATTTTAAATATTTTTCTTTTTCATTTCTTAGTTTAAAATTCATAGAAAATAGTATTCTTTGTAGAAAATTCTGAATAATTACTAGATAGGATATTACATCCCAGTGATTGACTTGGAAAATTATTGCTAGTTTTGAAAGTTTTATTAAATTATAATTGATATATTTTTTCAAAAAAACCTCAAAATATCTTAAAAATCATATTTTCTAGTTTTATAAATTTTAGATTCACGTGATTTAATATACAATGACTAAGTCACTGATAAGTCTTCATTATCATGAGTTAATAATTAGTAAACAATATAGTTTTAGCCTTAACTCAAGATAAATAGACTTATATTTGTGTTAAAAAATGATTTGTGGTTTTTAGTTGATTAACGTGAATTTTTTGGTAATTATGTGATTTTATACGATTTTTATAGTCTTACTTTTGAGATAAATGAAGAACAAGAAATAAAAATAAAAATATTGCAAAATGGGGGACCCGCCGGCCAGCTGGGCCCGCAAGCGAGTTGGAAGCATAGTCGGGGAGTAGCCGCGAGTAGGGGCTCGAGCGGCTTGAGCTTGGACTGATAGGGCACATGTACGCCACTCCCCTTCCACGTCACTAGTGGCCAGCCAATTGTGGGGCAAGGAGTGGTCATACACGCGAGAGAAGGGACTTTGCTTATAAAGCTAACATTACTATATATTTGCCCGAAAAATCAGCGCACAACCGATGTGGGACTAAACCCGTCTCACACCTTCCTCACAAGCGGGCGACCGGCGTAGGTTCAAATCCTCCCAGAGTCAAAATTCATATATTTTTATCTAATTATCACGACTTTCCTACAAATCACCGGTGAAAGATTAAGCAACAAGAAATACTGGATCATCGGTGAAAATCTCGTCAACATGCTTTGCAGAGCATTGCTACTAAAATTGTTGAACGATTCCTGATAAAAGGATCGCAAATCCATCGAGTAAATCATCTCCGATTAATCGATGAACAAGCCGTCGCCGGGAAGAGGACGATCCGCCGGGAGACCAGTCGCCACCTTCTAAGAGCATACCAGATACGATGAAGAGCCTCCTCTTGCTGCACAGACCTGAGGATGAAGCTCCCTGACATGCGCCCCACCTCCATCCAGCTCCTCTCCGTCGGGTGACAGCCCCCGGAGAGCTACAAAGTCGCCGTTTTTCTGCTCTGTCGGGTGACAGCTGCTGGAGACAATTTGATGACCCACTTCATTGATTTCTAAACTTCGCGAGAAGATCTAGAAATTGCCCACGTCGTCTTTCTCCAAGGAGAGCCTTTGAGGTTGTGGACACTACACGACGATCCTCCCGAACGCTCAGGATTCCGGTGCATCGCCGACGCCTTGCCGTCGCAATGCCAGAACTCTGTTTTACTGCTTTCAATTTACTTTATGCTTCATTTAGTGATAATTTTTGTGTTTTTAATTTACCAAAATATACTTTGTTCTATTACGATTCTTCTGGCTTTTACAGATCTTAATTTGATTAATTAAATCGTCCGTAATCGCTTACGTAAGAATCACCGGGCCGAACTCTATTTCCGCCTGATTCGCGCTCGTCTGGCGCTGATGTCATCTTGACATCCACGCCCTTATTTCCCTTTTTCGTGAATTTTAAATATATTTCCTTTTTATTTCCTAGTATAAAATTCATAGAAAATCGTATTCATTGAGAAAAATTCTGAATAACTACTAGATATTATATTACATCCCTATAATCAACCTGGAAAATTACCACTATTTTTGGAATTTTTATTAAAGTATAATTGATATATTTATTTATAAAAACTTCTAAATATCCGAAAATTTGTATTTTCTAGTTTTATAAATTTAATATTTGCGTAATTTAATATACAACGACTGAGTCACGTCAATCTCTAGACTTCACGAGAAGATCTAGAGATTGCCCACGTCATCTTTGTCCAAGGAAAGCCTTTGAGGCCATGGACACTACACGACGATCCTCCCGAACGCTCAGGATTCCGGTGCATCGCCGACGCATCGCCGTCGCGACGCCGGAACTTTGTTTTCCTGCTTTTAATTTAATTTACACTTCATTTAGTGATACTTTGTGTGATTTTAATTTACCAAACTATACTTTGTTCAATTACGATTCTTTTGGCTTTTACAAATCTTATATTGATTAATTAAATCGTCTGTAATCGCTTATGTAAGAATCGCCAAGTAGAACTCTGTTTCTACCCGATTTGCGTTCGCCAAGCGTTGACGTCATCTTGACGTCCGCACCCTTATTTTCTTTTTTTTTGTGAATTTTAAATATATTTCCTTTTCATTTCCTAGTATAAAATTCATAGAAAATTGTATTCATTGAGAAAAAATCTGAATAATTATAAAATATTATATTACATCCCTATGATTGACTTGAGAAATTATTGCTATTTTTAAAAGTTTTATTGAATTATAATTGATATATTTATTTAGAAATACTTCTAAATATCTAAAAATTCATATTTTCTAGTTTTATAAATTTATATTTGTGTGATTTAATATACAATGACTAAGTCACGTCAGTCACGTCAATAATCTCATTTCATCAGTTGACCCATATTGAGTAGATTGCATGCTAATTTTGGAATACAATATACATCATTAATCAATTTATTTACATGTAATCTTTTTTACGACAACTCTGGTTTTAATACCTTCAATTTTAACACTATTCTTATCTTCAATTAGAACTTCTTACTTAAGAGATGTATTTTTTTCATTTCATATTTTATGTTGAATATTACCATTATCATACCCTTAACATACAAAATTAGATATATTATACCTTCTTCCTTATCCACAAAATTAGATGGAAAGCTCATCTTCAAATATTTATATTATCATGACATTCATTAGATTTGACTTCTTTATTTTTATTTTTTTAAAATTTTTAATTTTATCCTAAATTCTGATGCAAAAAAATGCTCCATGAGTCTATTCATTTTTTCTTCATGTGTTCATAAAAAGCCAAGTCCATATACTTTTCAATAGCTATAATAACATTATAAAACTTAAATAGAGGGGTTCTCAATACCTTTATAACATTTTTCATTTCAGTAATATATTCCCAACTGTTACTATATCATTTAAAATAAATGAAACATGAGAGAACAATTCTTGAACATATTCACTAGATTTCACTAGAACAATTCTTGGAAATTTAATTCTTGTAACCTTATTACCTTTATAAAATATAACTTTCAAAATTTACCTTTATCATCTCATAGAAAAACTCTCCTCTAATAGGACATGTTGCAATACAAAAAAGGCCTTAGCATCTTCCTTACAAAGTTCCTTACCATGTTGTATTGAATTCTTCCTTCTTTATGGCCATTCTCAACTAATTCTCATAACTCATGCAAAATAAACAATATCCTGATCTTAATAATTCAAGATTCATATTTCTCTCGATTATAAAATGACATAAGATTATAAAAATTTCAGAGGGTAACCATTCAACATACTCACAATATCCAGTCTTGTTATTTACGATAATTTCTTGAGAAACATAGAAAATTTGGAAAGATAAATTTCATAGAGATAATAAGGTTACAAAATAAAACCTCAAACTACCTATTAAAAATTTGAAATTCTTTTTATGAAACATTGTGAATCTTTCTCAGACTTATTTCCTCGTGTTCCATTTATTCTTAATAATTTGAGAATATTTTAAAACAGATATTAAAAAAATAAAAATCTTAAAAACTTATTCAGAAGTTTTCATATAAGTTTGGTACTATTACTATAGCTATTATAGAGTTGAAGGACTATCTATTTATCCTTTAATAAATAAATGAGTTTTTTTATTAACACATTAAGAAAAATAAATAAATATGTTAGAAAATCTCAAAACTAGGTATTTTAAGTTAAACTTGAAATTTAAGAACAGGAGAAAAATTGTAAAGACATTGCTAATCAATGATATGATAATAGAGGTAGAGGAACTCATCACAATTGAGGCTTTGAAAGAGGTTATAGTAGATTCAACTTCGTACATGAGAAACATGAGTGTGGTAATAGTCAAAATCAAATGAATAACTTAATTTTAATTTTGTAAGAAATATTAATATATTGAAGCCTATTGTTGGGACAAGGCAAAATTAGGGAACAATATTATAGAAGAGAGTTCTAAAATAGTGCAACATAATTTTTTTAAGATGGTCATTTTGAGAAGTATATTATACATCTATCATCAAGAAAGTCACAATAGGCAGTAAAATTGCCTTTCAATTAACAATGCAATCTAAGAGAGTAAAGATATAATCTATCAAAAATCTCTTCTTATCTCAATTGCCAACGTAATCTTAATTGACATGATTAAAAAATTGACTAATGTCACTACGTTTTTAAAATACTAAGCTCAAATCTGAAGCACCTCTAATGTAATGAAGTATCTGTTTACAATCTTCTAGTAGACCTTTCTTAGATGTTTCATACACTTGCTAGTCATACTAACAACATGAGAAATGATAGGTTGAGTGCATTTCATAGCATACATGATGTTACCAATTACACTCATATATGAAATTTTTCTCGTCACCTGCATTTCTTTCTTCATCTTCAATAAATCTTCAAGTGACAATTTAAAATGAGCCAATAGTGGAATACTTATAGTCATGAACTCTTTTATGCTGCACCACTTTAATATTTTGTCCACATACTACTTTTGAAACTAGTACAACCTTCTAGTGTTGCAGTCTCTATATATTTGTATACCCAACTTTTTCTTTTCTACTCTATGATCTTATATCTCAAATTCATTTCTTAATTAAGATTTCAAATGATCAATATTTGAAATATTTTAGTAAAAGTTATTACATCATCAAGATATAATAACAAATAAATAAATCAATTATTTAGAGGCTTTTTGTGATATACACAACTATCATAATAAGTTCAAACAACATTATGACTTAGCATAAATGTATCAAACCTCTGGTACCACTATCTTATAAATTATTTCAATTAATAAATATTTCTAAAATAAGAATACGTAGTTTTCATTAGTTAAGAACTATAAAACTTTATGGTTGATAAATGCAGGTTTCTTTTTCTATCTCACTATGTAAGAATATACTCTTAACATCTAACTATTTTAAATCAAAAATAGCAAGTCAAACATGAATTGATGTATGTCTCACCACAAGATAGAATACCTAATTCGAATCAATGCCCTCTCACTATGTGAAATCCTTTACCACCAAACATGTCTTAAATCTAGCACCTAACTAGTCATGATTCTTTAATTTTTTCAAAGTCTATTTATACACTATAATCTTTTCACCAGATATTACTTTCAATAATTTACGTGTGTTGTTCTTCTATATAGACTCCATCTCCTCTTCTATTACACTTATAAGATTCATTTGAAGTAATAGTCTTTTATCAAGAACATTTTTTGTCACCATGAACTTCACCAATAACCCATAGAGCAAAAACTACCATGTTAGAATACCAATTAGGTGACCTAATCATCTTTTGCTACTTATTTTTCAGAAATTTAAACTTCTAGGGACTTGGTGTATGGTACTACTCTCTAGTACACCTTATATTTACATTATCTCCTCTTATCATACATTATCTTTTTAGAGCTTCACCTCTAGCTCTTCTTATTTGTTACTAATTTGATCTCTATTTTCCATTCTTGAATTTTCTCCCACTCTGAGCATCACAAATTCATCAAAGGTCCCATATCTCTTGGTCATGAACTTAGATGATTGATGATCAGTACACCAACCAAATATGGCTTTGCAACCTCTATTTGTGTATATCCTGTGAAAATTTACTTCTTTGCACTTAGCTCCAACTTGTCACTTGAGACAATTGCTAGTCAATACAACTGAAAAGTGTTCAGTGAAAATAATTAGAGAAGAATCGAACAACACCTCTTCAAGAGTTTCCAACTCAATAGCTATAAAAAAAAAGTTATTCACTAAGTAATATGCCATGTTGAGAACTTCTGCCCAAAAATTATTTGATATCCTTGCTTAAGATGACATACTTCTTGCGTTTTATAAAATTATTATGTTCATTTCTTTCACAACACCATTTTGTTGTGGTATCTTCACTATAGTGTGATGTTGAATGATGCCTTCATTATTGTACAACTCATCAAATTCATTCAAGGAAAACTTCATACTATTGTTTGTACAGAGACATTTGATTAGCTTGTCAATTTATTATTCAATCAATGTCTTTCATTGCTTGAATGTGGTGAAAGTCTCCTCACTCCTCTCCTTCAGAAAGTAGACTTAAGCTTTCCATCAAAAGTCATGAATGAAGGGTATCAAATAACTTGCACCATCTTTCAAGATAACTAGAGTAGAAACCAAAAATCAAAGTGGATGTAACCCATAATACCATTAGTTCTATGAATTTTAGCATTAAATTTCACCTTCCATCACTTTCCAAAGACATAATACACACCAAAATCTAGGTTTTTTTAGTATTTTCATTCACAAGAAAATCATGCTTTCTCAAGTCCGAACCTATGTCAGTCATATGGCCCAACTACATGTGTAATATTTTAATACAATCATCCAAATCTTGTGTCACATTAACACTATCAATAATAATATTATTAAACAGTCATTAAAGCCTACCAATCAGCTTTGCCTTCATCTTGATAACACTTCTATTGTTGTGAACAAAATTATCAAATTTTAAATATTTTATACTGAATTCGAAAAATAATTAAAATTAAAGTTTGGTGAAATCAGGTCATCCACAGGGATGATGGTCAATCTCAATGTGTATTTTTTTTCATTCTAAAGAATTTTACTAAAATAAAAAGATGTAAAAAAGGATAAAAAAAGAAAATAATCTTCTCCACAATTAAAATTTGCAAATTACTTGAGCTCTATATATTCGATTTTAATCATTGCTGATATTCAGAAGTGATAAATGACTCAAGACTGCAAAATATTCCAGAGAAAATGGAGGAGAAAAGCAAAAAAGTAAAAGAGAATTAAATGATAGAACATACACCTAAAATCAGGAAAACATGGGAGGAGAGAGAAAATACGACCACTAGTGGGGTTTCTCCATTGGAAGTGAAAAAGGAAAATAAACTTGAGTCAACTACTGATAAATGATAACTGATATTTTGAAATAAATATACGAAAATGGTCAGAAAAAAGTCAATTTTCATAAGAAATAGTAAAATTAGAAGGGAAAATAAAAAATGGAAATAAAGCCACAAACCCATCCATGTTGGTTACCCAAGAATAGAGTATCATTGTACTGAGAAAATGGAATGGAAATGAAAATGCCAATTTAAATGCTTAATGATGTCATCTATATCACCCAGATGATGAAATAAGCTAAAACGAAAATAAAATCAAGTCAATTGGAAACCTAATTCGCAAACACCATCTATCACTCTACTCAACTATCACCAAAAGATAGAGTACCAGAAAATGAATGTCAAATTGTCTAAAAAGTGGAAAAAAATAAATAGATTGAAAGCCTTAATCTCATTGTTTGTGTGTTGCACAGACAATGGATTAATAAGGAACGAAAATAGATGTAATAAAAGGAGAAATCAAACTTGTAAATAACTAACATTGCTCTGCTTGTCTCCACCTATAACCAAAGAGAACTTGGCTTGAAAATCTTGCAAAGCCCACTAATCTTCTACTCTTTATCATCTAGAAAGATTCCTCCCTTTTCTGTAGAGCTTCTTTCTGATTTTCATGCAATAATATATCAAAAATCATTGTGAAAACCAGAATTATCTTCGTCCATTTCACCACCCAAAATAGAGTAGAGAAGATAACCTACACTTGGATGACATCACATGACCTGTTAATGTGGCCCAAATTTACCAACTTGTCCCATAAACCCTTAATATATCTTCATCGTGATGTGATCATGAACTTTTATATTATATTCTCATTATCTTGATAATTTGTAGATTACAAAAAATAGCTGAAAACATGTCTTCATAAATTCCCTAAAATTTTCAAGATAAATCTATTTTCCAATTTGAACTTCATGAGTATTTTTTTTCAATTTTAAAATAATTCTCAAGACTATAAACCTTGGATAATCATGTTAGCACATGGATTAAAAATGAAAAATATATTTATTTAACATAAATCATAAAAGAATAGTAAGTTAAATATAAATTCATCACATCACACTCAAGCCAATGCTAATAAAGTTAAATATTATCATGTTGAGAATTTCAGCTTGTAAAGCCTTCATAACTTTAATAAAGATTCACACTAGCTAGTCCAATGTTCGGAGCTTTGGATTTTTTTTAATTACTTTATTAGATTCTGAAATAGTGCATCAAACAAGACATTTGTTCTGACTGCGAAGTAAATTGTAAGCCTCGGTTAAGTCAAGTGATCTCCAATGTACCATACAGCCTATGACCATTGTTTTCCATTAATGAAGCGTAAAGAATTACTATAAATCAATAAATTAAAATGGAATACTTTGAAATGGCGTCATTTTTGTGACAAGCATAACCGTCAAGTGAGCATGAGGCAAAAGTTCTGAAAGAGTGTGCTACATGACACGGGGAGACGATTTATTCCCAGCATCTGAGGCTACATCTTATCAATCATTTGACTCAAGTGAAATCCAAAACCACTGCATTTGACATCTCGATAACCAATGCATAGTCTTACTTCGGAGTGAGTTGTCGCAAAGTAGTGGTTTTGGATTTTCCCTCTCAAAAACAGAGCAGAGGTATCTTTAGGGTAATTAACCTGTCATTGTCAAAGAATCAGTCAATTGCTATAAAAAGCCTCCTTCGTCCAGAACACTATTTGTGTATGTACAACCTTCAGTAGACCATGGTTTGTGATTAAATTCCTCAACAATACACATTCGATGAATCCTTGGTGAGGTTTGAAAAAGCTTGAAACATTTATTGGGAAAGGTATAGAATCCTAGTGAGTTCTCTACGCCAACCTTGCAAATCAAAACTTCACATGCTCGACTTCTTATTCAAATTTCGTGCAGAAGATATCATCTTGAATCTACCCTCCAATTTCCTTTTCTTTAGACAAGTTCAATTAGAATTAAACTCACCACTCTTGGTGCCATCAACCCTGATTTTTTTCCTCCTGCTCGTTTGATACTTAGTGATACTTAGGATTTCCATTTTTTTTGGGTGTACAGTGCTCTGCACTGGTTTTGACCATTACATTCACAAAAAATTGGCGGGATAAAGTCATCAAAATGCCTATTTGACGGGGCCACGTAAGATATTTGGAGCTTTTTCTTGTTGACCTTCCCGTCGAGTGCGATGCAAAGTCAAGGGCGGCGGCGGATGGAAGTGCTGCCACACCGTTTTCTAAAGTGAAGTATCCCCTTTTGTCCTAGTCTCATGTTACCATCATTCAAAGTATCCAAGTCTTAGTCAGCACATTGTTTGAACAGGTTAACATTTTAAACGTTCATCGTAGACGACTTCATTGTGGAGTTACTCGTGCAAGCAGGTCCTCTGTGCACCTCAGTTTTTCCTTTCCAAGACTGACAGGTTCGCATTTTCTTGATGACTTCGTGTTGTCAAATTAGTCGAAATATGACTCATGACATGTTCAATCTTTACGAAACTTATGTATCTCCGCTTTCATTGACTCCAGTTTTTTTGGAATTATCGCGTTTTAAAATAATGTGGTTATATCGACTGTAGGATGGTTCAGGCTTTCAATATTGAACACAAATCTTCTGGGAGATGGCTTAGACTTCACCAAGGTGATGGTTCACTTTGTAGCGAGACCCAACGGCCTGTATAATCGAATGTTGTTGAACCTAAGATAGTAATTTCAGCAGTAACATAGCTCCAGATATTGCACCCACTGGTGTGAATTTTCCACAAAGAAATTAATGTTTTGCAGGATATGAAAGTTTTTCCAGGTAGGAAGTAGATAAGAAAAACAAGCAGTGACCTTGTCAAGAGCCGCCAACGGAGACTTAGGACCACCTTACTTTGGAGAAACTAGGTTTGAGTGCTGAGGATGCGTATGAATAACGTTTACGGCCGCTATTAGGTTAAGATTTACACACTAGGCTGCGGGCAACAAAATCGTATTATTTTCAGACACGTGGCTCCATTCGTTGGAGCACTAATTTTCACAGGTACCGATTTTTCAAGTTGGTATCTGGTAACCAGAATACCCTTGCAGTTGGTAGGCGGCAACATATCCAGGACGAATAAGAATAAAGCCGACCAGGTAGAAACCAGACATTGGGACGAAATAGATGCGTGGAGACGAGAACAATGGCCCACTTCGTGGCTGCATTTTTTTCTTGTTTACCTTATCCTTGGAAAGATTTTCGTACCCCAAAAATAGCCACCTATCTGCTGCACGACTCTGCTGGGTCATGGGGAAGGGAAGAAGAGGTCAGCAAGAAAAGATGCGGCGACCTGTTCGCCAAACGTCAGATGAGACTAACGAGCGCCCTGCCATTGACATATGCGTACGCATTGACGTCTTTCCCTGGTGACGAAATATACAACGAAACATCTGCGACGACGCGCGTAGTTCCTTCCGGCCCACCCTACTACTTACTATAAATAGCACGGATCGGGGCCGGGGGAACAGCAGCTCATTACCGCTCGACAGGCACAAAACCCCCTGAGGTACCCATACTTTCGGATTCTTCTCAAGTCCTACCATCGCCTAAGAAAGGATATGGCCACCGCCTGCAAGACCCCGGTCGCCGCGGCAGCTGCCGTACTCCTGTTGCTTATCGTAGCCGTCGCCGTCGCCCCGGCGTCAGCCAGCAGCATGACGGGTTATTCGCAGTCGGGTTGCAGTGGGAACCGCAGAAGGTGGGGATGTGGTGCGTGCTACAACCTCGCCGGCTACAAGGGAGGCTACTTCTTCGACTACTCGGGGGGCCAGGTGGGTAGGCTCTACCGCGGGTCGAACTGCCAAGGCTCCTATGACTCCGTCGGCAGGGACGTCCGCCGTTGCTCTCCCTACGCCTATAACAGCTTCCGCATAATGTGCTGAGCGTGGTCATGTTGGCTGAGTGCTGTCTACTGAACTCGCCTCCAGTTAGTGCTCTCATCATGTGTGTACTGACGGCCCCCCATAAATAAATCGTATGAAATAAAAGAGCACGGCAGTCGCCTAGTGCTGAAAAAGTTTATTCCTGCTGTCCTCACGAATAGGCTACGCGCGTGTTTGCCTGCTTCCTGGGACCGCGTCAATTCGTTCCAGGAGATGGGCGGCAGTCTGGTTTTAAACATTTCCATTCGATATTTCCAAAAATAATAGTTAATGTTGTTGAGTTCATCGAGGCAACCCGACGTTTACTGAACTAAGCCTAGACATCCAGTGCTTTCGTCAATGCAAGTGGCACATGGCTACAAGTAAAGAGCTAACAATTAAACTAAAGAATCTACTTGTTGATGAAAAAAATAATGAATTCAATTTCCTACTAAAGTTTGAGTGTTTAATGCTTCATTGCCATGTAAGAGACTAAAGTTAGATTTGATGGTGAGCTGATAAGTCATTATTATCATAAGTTAATAATTAGTAAATAATATAGTTTTAGTCTTATCTCATGATAAATAGACTTATATTTATGTTAAATTATGAAAAGTGATTAACATAAATTTTTGGTTAATTATGTAATTTTCTACGAATTTATATAATTTTAATAGTCCTTTTTTGAGATAAATAAAGAAAAAGAAATTAAAATAAAAACATAGTAAAATGAGGGGACCCATCAGTCAACCGGGCCCACAAGTAGGTCAGAAGTACAATCAAGGGGAGCTAAGAGTAGGGGCACTTGAGTGGCTAGAGTCGATGGGGACACATATGTGCCACTCCCCTTCCACGTCACTAGTGGCCAACCAATTGTGGGACACGGAGTGGTCGTACACACGGGAGAAAGGGATATACTGTTTGCAAATATGATATTACTATGTATTCGTCCAAAACTTTGGCGCACAAGTAATGTCGGACTAAGCTCATGTCACACCTTCCTACAAAAGGCTTCGAAGGTGACAATGCGTCGACGATGCACTGGAATCTTGAGCGTTCGGGAGGATCATCGTGCAGTGTCCACGACCTCAAAGGCTTTCCTTGGACAAAGACGACGTGGGCAATCTCTAGATCTTCTCGCGAAGTCTAGAGATCAATGAAGTGGGTCGTCAAATTGTCTCCGGCGGCTGTCACTTGGCAGAGCAGAAAAATGGTGACTTTGCGGCTCTCTGGTGGCTGTCACCCGATAGAGAGGAGCTGAATGAAGGTAGGGCGCGTGTTAGGGAGCTTCATCCTCAAGTCTGCGCAGCAAGAGGAGGCTCTTCATCACATCTGGTACGCTCTCAAGAGGTAGCGACTGGTCTCCCGGCGGATCGTCCTCTTTTTGACGATGGCTTATTCGTCGATCAATCAGAGATGATTTACTCAATGGATTTGTGATCCTTTTATCATGAATCGTTCAATAATTTTAGTAGCAATGCTCTGCGAAGCGCGTTGACGAAATTTTCACTAATGATCCAACGATTCTCGTTGCTTAATCCTTCACCGATGATTTGTAGGAAAGTCGTGATAATTAGATAAAAATATATGAATTTTGACTTTGGGAGGATTTGAACCCGTGCCAGCCGCCCGCCTGTGAGGAAGGTGTGACACGGGTTTAGTCCCACATCGGTTGTGCACCAACTTTTCGGGCAAATATATAATAATGTTAGCTTTATAAGCAAAGTCCCTTCTCTTGCATGTACAACCACTCCTTGCCCCACAACCGGCTGGCCACAGGTAACGTGGAAGGGGAGTGGCATACACATCCCTATCAGTCCAAGCTCAAGCCGCTCGAACCCCTACTCGCGGCTACTCCCTAATTGTGCTTCCAACCCGCTTGCAGGCCCTGCTGGCCAACGGGTCCCCCATTTTGCAATTTTTTTATTTTTATTTCCTGTTCTTCAATAAGACTATAAAAATCATATAAAATCACATAATTACCCAAAAAATCACGTTAATCAACTGAAAACCAGAAATCATTTTTTTACACAAATATAAGTCTATTTATCATGAGTTAAGGCTAAAACTATATTATTTACTAATTATTAACTCATGATAATGAAGACTTATCAGTGACTTAGTCATTATATATTAAATCACGTGAATCTAAAATTTATAAAACTAGAAAATATGATTTTTCAGATATTTTGAAGTATTTTTGAACAAATATATCAATTATAATTTAATAAAACTTTCAAAACTAGCAATAATTTTCCAAGTCAATCACAGGGATGTAATATCCTATCTAGTAATTATTTAGAACTTTCTACAAAGAATACTATTTTCTATGAATTTTACACTAAGAAATGAAAAAGAAAAATATTTAAAATTCACAAAAAAAGGAAATAAGGGTGCGGACATCAGGATGGCATCAGCACCCAGCGAATGCGAATCAAGCCGAAATAGAGTGCTGCCCGACGATTCTTATGTAAGTAATTACAAATGATTTAATTGATCAAATTAAAACCTGTAAAAGCTAGAAGAATTGTAATGAAATGAAGTATATCTTGGTAAATTTAAAATCAGAAAATTATCAATAAATGAAACGAAAATTAAGTTAAAGTAGGAAAATAAAGTTTCGGTGTCGCGATGGCGATGTGTCGACGATGCACCAGAATCCTGATGTAGTGTTCATAGCCACAAAGGCTCTCTTTGGACAAAGACGACATGGGCAATCTCTAGATCTCCTTGCAAAATCTAGAGATCAATGAAATGGGTCCTCAAATCGTCTCCGATGGAGTGAAAAAACGGCGACTTTGCGACTTTCTAATAGTTGTCACCTGATGGAGAGAAGTTGGATGGAGGTGAGGCACGTGTCACAGAGCTTCATCCTCAGGTCTACATAGAAAGAGGTGGCTCTTCATTGCATCTAGTACGCTCTTAGGAGGTGGCGACTCATCTCCTAGCGGGTCGTCCTCTTCCCAACGACGGCTTATTCGTCGATCAATCGAAGATGCTTGATGGATTTGCAATCCTTTTATTGTAAATCATTCAACAATTTTAATAACAATGCTCCGCAAATCACGTTGATGAGATTTTCACTGATGATCTAGCAATTTTGGTTGCTTAATCCTTCAGACGGCAATCTGTAAGAAAGCCACGATAATTAGATAAAAAAAATATGAATTTTGACTCTAGGAGGATTTGAACCTACGCCAATTGCTGCCCTTTCTAGGGAAGGTGACGCACGTTTAGTCCCACATCGATTGTGCGCCAAAGTTTGTGGCAAATATATAGTAATATTACATTTTCGATCAAGTTCCTTTCTCACGTGTGTACGACTAGTCCTTGCCCCACAGTCGGCTGGCCACCGGTGACATGGAAGGGGAGTGGCGCACACATGCCCCCATCAGTTCAAGCCGCTCAAGCCCATGCTCACAGCTCCTGCCCAACTACGCTTCCGACCCCCTTGCGCGCCTAGTTGACCAGTGGGTCCCCCCCATTTTGCTATTTTTATTTTAATTTCTTTTCCTTCATTTATCTCAAAAGTAAGTCTGTAAAAATCATATAAAATCATATAAAATCACATAATTACCAAAAATTCACGTTAATCAATTGAAAACTACTTTTCACACTTTAACACAAATATAAGTCTATTTATCATGAGTTCAGGTTAAAACTATATTATTTACTAATTATTAACTCATGATAATGAAGACTTATCAATTATATTTTTTATTTCAAAGAGGACATATCTATTATTAGGTGTAAGAAAAATTAAACCTCTATTATGTTTATTTTCATAGCTAGGAAATAAATTTTTCCTCTTGATATTTCAAGACCTCTTGTATTTGTAATGATTATTAGATAAAAAGATCGTTCTTGACTTTAGCATTGAATTATAGAATTTTTGAAAGTATTGCATTACAAAAATATGACTTTTATTTTGTGACCTATTATAGTCAATAATGATGCCTATCAAGAATGTGTTTACTATTGGGTTTGATATGGCTAAGTGAAGTATTAAAAGGGGGGGGGTGAACTAGTTTTCTACATTTTCCTATTTTATTCTATTACTTTCTCTGTATGAACATGTATTGATGCACATAATCTCTCAAATCTATACATGGATTGACCTAAGTCACTTCTCTTTTCATCACAAGATTCACCTAAATTGTACTATGTAGATGAGAATGGCAGAATCATAATAGTAATTCCAAAATTGTTATGATCAAAAAACTATAAAATTTTCTGTCTCTCTTCATAATCACAGTGGATTCATCTTAGGAGAATATTTTAAAGACACAAAATTCAGTCATTGCCTTGTAGCGGCTAGTTTTCTGGTCAATTCAATCAAAATTCAATTTTGTTTGAAAATTTAAAAATCTTCTAAAAGTGATAATAAATCAAATACAGGAAGTTTTGTGAGAACTCTTTCACCATTGTGATCTTTGTTTACGAATTTTTATTTTAATAACATATTATCCTCTAAATAATCACCAAGATAAAGGTGCCATTTATAAATTTCAAAACATCTCAACTTAAATCATATGGGTACCATAGTCAATATGATGTAAGCCTTCAAAACCTATCAAAACCTTTCAAAACCTTTTACCATGCATGCGTAAAGGTACCTTTTAGTAGATCCTTCTCCTTTACGACTACACCAAGTGACCCAATTTTACCTAGAATAGGTTTATTGTGGCTGACTAAAGCTAGGGGAAACCAAGGGTTCTCTAGGAGTGCCGCACATTGCTGCCAAACTAAAAAGGAATGGCAAAAGTTGTTGGACTCTTTCTATACTTGTAACTGTTTAATGTGAGGAAAGTAATTTTTCTCTTCTATACTTACTTACTCGACTGCAACTATTTTATGTGGCAAAACTTTACCCCATTCCACCATCTTGTATGTGCAACTTGGTGATGTCGATCTCGCATGCAGATCTCAGAATGAATCCTTTCAAGTACTTCTGTGTAGACGGCATAGAACATCCCCCTTTATGGATATTTAATATTTTGTGAAGATTATGATTAGAGAGCATCACCAGGTGAAACGCATACTACTATTTCAAAGATTGAGGAAACCCTTCTCTACGATAGAGACACTGGACTTGTTCTAACCTAGCACCAAACAAAGTGTAATGAAAAATATCCATGGTCAAAATCATGTAAACGGCTCATCGAGGTAAGTATCCATGAATCTGGGAATTCCCAGAGTGGTGGAATGAAAAATAATATAGCGACAGAAAGTAGGGCTCCAAAATGGCAATCACAAAATTTTCTTCATTGAAATAGGAAAGCTTATAAGAATGTGAGAACCATGGGGAGGGTTCAGGATTTTAGCCTAGCACTTTTCATTGAGAATAGTTTTGTGGAGAAGTTAAGGCAGGGAACTCAGGATCTATGAAACCAAACAGCCAAGTGAATGATGGGGAAATTATTCTTGAGCACTTGCTAGCTTATTGAAAATTTAAACCACAAGCTGGTGTATCACTTTGAGGCCAGTCAGTGTTTACCATCTTCTTCTTTGCTGAACTTTTCATTTTGGTCTGGGTACATCAAGGAGTTCACTTCATCTTATTCTTTCAATTAATCTTTGATGATCCACCCATTGTCAAACAGGCTACCATTAACCTAAATCAAGATAAAGTGCAGTTATTTTCATTATTCCCCGCCCTATTCACCACCCCGAACAAAAGAACTGCTGCTAAGAGCAATCAAATAGGCAAGTCACCATCCTGTTTGTCTTGCCTTCAAGAGTACTTCGATATACAATCAATAGGCACCATTAGAAAGAAAGGAGAACAATACATCTTTGTACCAATCCAAGGAGAAGTAAGGAAAAAATAAATTACGGCAGAGCTTTCATGACAAAAGGTACTTTTCCTATTTTCTAGATAGGGTTTTTCATCATACAAAAAGATAGATGCCTCGTCGTACTATCCCACCATATTTGATGTTGAGGTCTAAACTCTCACTTGCAGAGCTTATTGTAGTATCCAATATTTAATTTCAAATAATAAGTTGTGAGGAATCCAGAATCTGTAAATTCAGGAATCTATATGAGACGAGTTATGGTAGAAGGGTGGAGAATGGATGTGAGAATGGTTTTCAGGATATGGCACTCGACTAGTGCTAGGCTTGCTGGTT